TCAAAATTTATTATGAAATATTTCTCTTTTTTCTTATTTAACATCTATATAAATTTGTATTACTATCTAAATTTGACGAGACTTATGGTTTATATTTCTTGAAGTTGAAATGAGTCATAACGCGACGAAATGTTTAAGAAGGAGCAGCAAAGTTTCTGATTTCTCAACAGAGGGAGAAAAATATTAAAATTCTCGTCTCCCTACGTTATAACCGAATGACGTCAGAACTCATAAAATAGCAAGACAAGATAAGCGGCACGTGGCCCAAAATTCTCCGGGATACAGTTTGCCCTATTGAAATAACCTCTGGCCTATAGCTTCAAAAGAGAAATCCCCATGGTAGATCGAATGGCCACGAACCGCGAAGAAAACAACATCTATATATAGACTGATGGTTCGAGTATTATATATATACCCAATATATATTCCACAGCTTCAATTCTCGATTTCTCACTCTGATGGAATAACAAACTGTCGAGAGTTCTTATATAAAGATATTGGTTTGCAATAATATTGAATGATGAAGAACGAGAAGTGATACTATAAAAAAAGTTATTCGAATATGTTACTCCAATATTGATAGGAAAGAACATAAAGGTAGGTTTTGTGCCCCATGATTTTTCGCGACTGCATCTGCAACTTTAAATAAAAAATAAATCGCAGGGTTTCTCGCTGTTATATTGCAGTTAGCATGACTGAGATTATTTCGACATATATATGCAACGTGTATGTCATATGTGCGTCGTCGCACGCGATATTACAAATTCAAATGCAACACTCATATTGTCAGAGTTATGTTTCCCAGCGGTGACTTGTCACAGAGTCGACATTTCAGAACGCGTAGCCGTAAACCCCTTACACCGATATGTAAATATTACCAATGGAGATCTCGCGGAAGTCTCACTGGGGCACACGGAATAGTGGACCGTATCATCTGCCGATTGAAATGCAGATCTCGATGTAGATTAATGACATCCCGAAGTAGATGCGTGCTCATCGATCCGCCGTACTTGCTTACTCTGGCAGAAATGATATAACGGTCGTGATCCTCAGATCTCCCGCGAGATGATATACGTGAGCATAGACGTTGCATAGACGTGACTTATAATACATTTCAAAACGCAAAGGACTTGATAAATAATCTATACATATTAGTCATTAAATTAAATCGTGCTTTTATTTTTCATGCATATATAATACATTTATATAATACATTTATAAAAAATATATATAATACATTTATAAAAAAAATTTATATATATACAACTAAATATATAAATTTATATATATATATATATATATATATATATATTTATATTTATATTTATAAAATTTATATATATATACTAATACTAATTCTTTATATTAATTCTAAAGTATCATATTTTATAGCAAATAATTTTAAAGCAAAAAGAATATGTCATATTCTATTTCCATTATAAGGTTTTTGTTTTAAGTTACAACAATGAATTAAGGCCAATGCCATGTACAAATATAGAGCCAAGGAAAATACACTTTCAGAGGAAATGGAAGGCATCTTAAATTTCACAAACAAGATTTGTCGCGTTTCTAAGGTAACTCAATAAAGATTTTCTACACAAACAGCACGAACTTCCATTTACCATACTTCGTACGAATATCGACTCATGCAGAACTGACAAATCAATTTTCGGTAAAATTTATTTACAGCTATGCCGCTTTGTATAAATAATTGTTGAGTTACATAATATAATGAAATGAATTTTGCTAGCGATCTATAAAAGAACTACAAGCTAAGTTATTAAATTTCAACAATAGAACACTAAATTGAGTGAAATTAATTAATCGAGTGGAAATAACACAAACACAATTTCAACAACTATCTCTGTATTGAATCGTATGCAAGATACATGTGAAATATTTGATTTATAGAAAAAGATTTTAATGTGTATGTCCTCTTTTAGTGTAAAGCAGTAAAAAAGAAGACTTAAATATTAAATATATCATTATCAATTTAAAACAATTTGATACATCTAGCTTTGTAAGTTCACAATTTTGCTTAATGGATCTCGGCGAAACGCAAGTTAAGTGTACGCTCTGCTTTGCACAGCTGTTTTTGTCAGAAGGATATGCAGGTGTAAAAGCGAGTGGTATCTAATTAGCGGTCAGCTCTGCCAGTCGACCTTAATTCACCAGTTGAGGCTCCCTTTTCGCTCGTCCGTTCTCTCGGTCGTGCGTATCTATAGCATCATTTCAGTCTAGTAGCAAGCGGTATCGTGTTTCAAACGGGCGCATTATGTACTTTGCATAACCGTTCATGCATTGCAAAATAGAAATAAAAGAAATATTTTTGCTACACTCGACAAGTACGCTAGTGACATGAATTACCTAAAAAGAACTTAGAATCTTAAAAAAATAGAATAAATTAAATGTTAAATTATTTAATATTTGGATAAGTTTGTATCGCGTTAAAGTCATTAAATTCTAGTGCTCGAACAACGAAGGGACATAGTAAAATAGATACCTATACGAAATTGCTTTTTCTGAGAAAAGGAATGATGATACGACGACAGAGAATTGCAGATTGATCTCCTTTTACACAGGAAATGTTTTTTAAACGCTCCCTCGATTATCCTTTCGATTCTCGGCACACGGGCTGTTAAGATCCGCGCAAGTGATACGGGTCATCGAGAAATCGTTTTGGCGGTGTCGTAACCCCTCCATCGGCAATAATGGTACTCCACCCCTTTTCTCCTCTTTTCTATTGCTCAGAGAGTTATTTTCCTCTAGGGATGAACGATTTCCGGCAACGGTCGTTACGTGATAATATAAACTTTAAACTACGCAAATCATGTTATTTCCTATCCCAGTTTTCCCGTACAATGATAAGCGTGTAATATTAATATTCATGAATCGATGCATAAATCTCTTCTCTTCTTGTCAATTTTTATTACTCCAATTACATAATAAATATTTTTTACTCCGAAAAAAGATGCTTTTAATTCATAAATTGCTCGCTAAATATTTTTCCACTATTAAAACGCATGATTAAGTAACACTTTATTTTTAACAGTTTTAATATTTGATGGATAAAATAGCTAGCAGCATATACGTAAAATGTAGAGAAGAATTAAATTAAATTCCTCCCAGACGCGGAAGTTATACTTACTTGGTGCATCGCGTACGAAAAAATATAATTATAAAACGTTATAAATAATTGAAAGCGTGTCAAGCGAAAATGTTGCTTCACTTTATACCATTTTAATCTAATATATCTGTTTGTACGCAAAATGGCAGCATTCTAATCAGTTATCATCAAATCATCCTCTTGCAGAGATTATCTACGGCGTCGAGTTAAACACGGTGAAATGTTTGTTGAAACTGCCGAGGCTTTTAGTTTCGAGAGTTATGAGATTGAGTGATGAACTTTGTCATATTATTACGCGCAACATGAGCTTTTGCCATCATAGTAAAAGCGCTAGGGAAAAGCAAGATAGTCCGAGCTGCTATCGAACGCGTTTCTATATAATGATTCTGTTTTCTCAAAGTTAGTTTACATCGGCGCTAATCATAGTATCAGTTACAAGTTTCATAAAAGAGTAAAATTCCTTTGTACAGAAAGTGCGCTTTGCTTTTAGTCTCATGTGCTTCACAGAAGAATAGTTTTAGGAGTATTCTTTCGGAATGTTACGAAGCCGATACGATCCCTCTTCGCGTAATGCTAGTCGGGATTCAACTTCAACTTTATAATTTTAACAACTGCTCTCGGAAACTGAGAGATCTCCGGTAGCGAATTTGATGAATGCTGTTGAATCGGGATGAGCTTCGTTTCAATTGCCGGCACAATCAATTTTACAGACCTTCCTGTGTAAGTTATGAATTTTTACGAGCGATCGACGCTCGTAAAAATTGGTCCTGACCCTTCCGCAGACACAGATATGGCCGTTTAAGAAATTCATGATCGATACTGGTACGTACGTCTGGAAGAAGACGAAGCAGAGGAGCAAAGAGAACGAAGGGGTGGAGAGATGCCGAGGATGAGCGCGAGATACTTCTCCGGAAATTACGCTCTCTCCGCGGAGGCAGCATTTCCGGTCCGGCTATATATAAATCGTCTCAGCAAGAAGAATAACCGCAAACGGACATAGCCCGTAAACTCTTCGTGCCCGAAATATTTTGTCTGTGTAGTGTAAAAACACATTTTAGATAAAAAACATATCATTACGCAGTCCATTCAAATATGCTCAAAACTTCGTCAAATAATTTCTATCTGTATTTTGTCGAATCGTCCGTACAATGCAAATTGCGTATATGATACGTGAAATTTTTACAGTGAGAAAAAGTGCAAAACAAAAGCTGCTTTATTCCTTTAACATTAACCCTTCGTGCACAACGTATAATATTGTAATGCTTTTAAAAATATGCAATATGTAAAATTTTCAATGTAAATTTTTGTTTGTTTATGCATGTACTATAAAACGTTAATATTTATTAGTTTTAAGCGTATCGTATAAATTGAATACTGTTTTTAACATTGGACAAATTAAACATATTTAATGAACCGAGAAATCGTATACATACAAGAGCGATATAGTATTCTGGCTAGGAAAGGTATGCTTTACCAATTAATATTAATAACAATACTGTTACGAGATAATCGATGGTTGTTTGTCAAAACAGTATTATTTGTTTCATGCTGCGCATGGCTTACAGAATTTTGATATAACGGAATAACGTTACGTAACCACTCGTTTGACGTACATCCGGGTATCGAACGGGTCTTTCAGTTAGTAACATTTCCGTGATTAAATACGATATATACATTTCTCTCGCAAACTCTGCAAATCCAGAGTTATTATTTATGACTATCTGATATAGTTAAACACACAAAAGCCAATAACATATATTTAGTTAGAATAAACCTTGCTTGTCAGCATTGTTACATATAAAGCACAGTACGAGTCATGACTATGGTTTACAATTGTCACTTTTTTTAACACGTTTTATATTTTAATGTGCAGCTCGTGGGCGGTGAATTCGACATGGAGCTGAATTTCGTGATCCAGGACGCGCAAAACATCAGGCACATGCTGGAGCTTCTCGATCATTGCCCGCCCAATCTCCAGGTAAGTGAACATCGTGACGTTAAACTAGGTCGAATTAATTACGTGCGGAAAATATCTGACGTAAACCCAAGAGGAATGCGGTGGAGAGTACGTGTTAGCGAGTACTTGTCAATATCGTAATATCAGTAATTGAAATTGAAAACCTATTGTATATAATATATAAAGACATATATAACATATATGTGAGCGTGTGTACACGTATGTGTGTGCGTTTTTTATAGAGCGCTTCTCAAGAGTGCAGCACACACGAAGATAGAAGATAGAAAAGTGATTGCTAAGATCCTTCTCGGATATCATCGAGTAGAATTACATTGCGTTGAAGTCTCAAACTACTCATTTTTCTTTCTGTATTAACGCTTTTCGCAATATAAAGAAAGACTTCAATTTTTTGATATTAATTTATAAGATTCCTTATTCGAGATTCATTTTATTCTTTTAATCTTTTTATTAGTCGATATAATTTACAAGTAATCGCGGATCACGCTTTATATTGTGCAATAGTAGGCGAGTAATTAAATCTTAATTTAGAAATGATCGATTAAAATATATGCATTTGATGAGAATTGTTCAATTCGCGCGTAAGCGTTTAATACATACGTGATTATTCAAATATCTACGTTCAGCGCAATCAACGTCTTGTCTGGCACTATCGCGGAACTTACTACTTTGGCTGTTTTCTTATATTGCGACAGAGAAATTCTGCTGTTGAGTGCAAATTGTCCTCAATTGAACGAACGAAGCGATCAATACCATGCGTCTCATGTACGCATTAAACGCGTAAAATAAAATCGCGATAATTAAAACTACGCAAAAAAGCATATGATATTTTTTTACATTGAAATAGAAACGTTGACATGATAACGTATCGGGAAGGAAAACCGTAAAGTAAAAGAACACATATATGAATTTCTGATTCTTTTCTCTTCGCCTTTCTCTCTCTCTCTCTTTCTCGTTCTTTATTTGATGATAAAAAAGAGCATACCATGTTAGGATTCGCACAATCTTGGCATACAAAAGAATCGGAATCCATTATGTGGCAAATTTTCCTCGGGTATAAAATTTTTTTTCGATCACGGAGCATGAGATTTGTTGTCGCTTTGGAGCATCATTCGTACCCTCTGTTTTTCGTGTTCGTGAAGTATACAGAAAAGCATCGGTTCAGTGACGAAAAAATATGATCTCGCAATATCGCACTATCGCGATATCGATTGAAAAATAGTCTGGTTTAATCTAATCGATAATGATCGATGTAGACATACGTCGACTACTGACACGTATAATAATTGACCAGAAAAGTGATTTGTCAAAATATTATTGACAGAAATAAATCGTCCAGTTCATTTCAGTAATTTGATCATGCAAATTTTTTTGTACAAAATGATGTATTTTCTTCTATCCGATAATTATGTATTTCTGTTCGATAATTTTAATCGATAATATATTAGAGTATTCAGTTGCTCCGTATTTATTGATAATATAATTTATCCTGCGTTTCTGTTTAACTTGATTTTTAACAGAAAGTAAATATTACTAACGAAGTACTTAATTAAAAATAAATATGTAACCGCATAGCTTGTGGAAAATATCTTAATTGGTTTTTTCCCCACTAATGCGTGTATATTTTACGTTTGACACAAACACATCTGTATACGACTATCTCTTGTCCCATTATATTTGGAACAAACAACGTATTGGCCTCGGGTGGCTTCAGCTGCCAAGATTAAAGCAAAAGACTTTCCGCAAAACACACCACCTGCTGTGTATCTTCGAAATTCGTGTACGTCCCGCTTCGTTAAAAGCGATGTACGACTTGGCGAGAAAGGAAAGTAAGGACGACGAACTTTTGTAAATAATAACGGGTCCTTAGTCGCCATGTCAGGTGGAAGAAAATCCGTTTACGCTTTCGTCGCTCTTCGCAAACTCATACACGACACTTGAGCCTCTGCTGCAAACTTTTGGCGTGAAAGTAAATAGAAATTTAAACTAGATGGATGAATAGATAAAGTTATGAACATCCTGTTCTTTCATCCGCTAATCATCTGCGGTCGTTTGTTCTTTTTTGTGTCAACAAGAACGACGGGTTGTCGTGCAACAAAATGACAAAATCAAATTCAAATTAGATTTATGCGAGCTCATTATATATCTGACAAAAAAGGCTTGCTTAGCTAAATTTCTAGTCATGCTGCGAAAGCTGGTGAGCCACCGTATCTGACACAGCTGTTGCTGAAATGAAAATTAATATATACCTTGTATGACACTAGAAGCACATTTCAATGTGACAGGATTGTCACGTGTAAATGTTAAGGTGTACAGTTGATGGCAAGCACAGCAGAACTTGAGTTCATCTATTATATACAGAGTGTTTCATTATTTTTGACGCGGTTCTTTTATATATTTTTTCTTGATATAAATTTGTAAAATGTTTATAAAATTTTCAAATTTTAATTGTAAATTATAAACATTTAAAAAATTTAAATTATATATATATATTTATTTATAACATTTTCTCTTAACATTTTCTTTGTTAAATTAAATTCACTTGTGAAATTAATTGAAGGGATACTTTAATAGTAGTGCCTTTTGGTATACATATAATCGTAGGGATTGTATTGGTATCAGTTGATATAATCTGTTACTGATCGGCTTCTGCCTAGCTCTATAGAGTCTAGCTTGAGCAGTCTGAAATGTTAATACTGTTAAGGGAGTTTCCACGTCGCCTATCCTCGACCGTACATAGACCCTAAGTTAGCTTGCTTCCGTCTAGCTTCTCTTATACGCGATAAATGACTAGGAAAATACATATGTGCATGCATATACAGATTATTACTTTAAAACTATTGCTTCATAATTTCATGAAGGCTTATTTACGCTTTACATAGGTAAAATTTTGTTTAAATAATGCTTGCTCCAAATTAATTGGAAAGAAGAAAAACATATATATGAATGTTATATATTTATATTTACATAATTTTTTTATTCGTACAAATCTCTTGATTTTCTATTCTTTTGTTTATAATTCAAACATTATTTGATGTATTAAAAACATTGCGTTATTTTCCTAATATCTGTTGTTAGAATCGCTGGTTTTGAAATTCGTTACATATTTTACTGTATGTTTGTTGGAGCCATTCATCTCTTTGAGATATAAGCCAAGCATAATGGACCAGTGTAATGCTCGCGCGTGAAAGCGTATTCTATCTAAATCTCTAGTACTTTTTTGTTAGAATCTTCGAGTAGACGAATATTCTGCAGAAACCGACAAGCATAGCGACGACCGCGTTAAAGAGACACAATGCAGTTTGAAAGTACCATTTGCGACGCACTCGTATTTACGTCACTTTGAGAAATCGACCGAGAGCTTTGTAAATGAAGAGCTTACTATATATTCTCTCTTCTCTCTTTCAATTAATATCCTGAAAGTTTTCATTTCATGGAGAATTGCGAATTTCTAGGAATGTGACGCAGTAATAGATTTTCAAGAATACGAAGTAAGCAAAAATAGCACGATTATCGAACTTACACGATCATTTTGATTAACACTTTCAGAAACATTCTTTAAAGAATGGAATAAGATTGAATGCAAGTTTCAATACTAAAGAATAGAGAATCTCTCAAATTAAACTTTCAGTGACGTAGAGCAATTTCAAATATATATTTCCGCGAAGAAATAAATTAAAATATATGAGATCATCCGGAAGGAAAGATTAGATATATAGACATCTTCACTCAAATGTTATTTCAGGAAATAGCGAGAAAATTGAAGTTAAGACACGTTTTAACTGTTGTTTGGATTGATTGAATATATAGTAATTCGAATTTTGTGTAATATGTCATCACCTACTTGTTTAATAAAACGCGAATGTTTATTCACCCGTAATAAAACTTATAGCATTTTCCCTCCTTTTTTCCCCATCATATCTGAACGCATAAGACGTACAAATGAACATTTTTAGAAAATTATTTTTTATCAATTTATTTTTTAGAAAATTTAGGAGGAATAAAGAATATGTAAAAGATATTTAGTACAATTATATACAGGCCATTTGTATATTTTAAATTTACATTTAATGAAAATCGAGAAAAAAATATTTGCTTTATTACTATCAATATATTTGTTTGAAGAACTGTGTGCGATTTTTATTTTTACTGAATAATGTACGGATAAAAATATAATCTAGCAATTTTTGTGATAAATTTGCAACAGGCGTAAACGAGAATATCAGTTTTTCAAATGCAGCGATTTGTAACGAGAAACATAAACGTTCGTGAACTCGATTTTATCCTGGTATTATGTCGCATTGTTATTTTGATGAGATGTAAAGCCGGATTACTGTTGGTGAACATTGCACTCTACATACGATATTTTACGTATATCATAAAAAATCAATGACATATTCTACAACAATATATGTATAGTTAATCGGTACTATACTTCAAGAGAGAAATACTTTAATAAATAATTAGTATATATTAAAATAATACAAAATAAAGTTAAAATATTGTTTTTTAGCTCAATTAATTGCTTAAAAATTATGTATATTTAAGAAATTCTACATAAATTGGGAAAATTAAAATATTTTTAAGCAATGCCACACAATATGAGCTTTTATTTTGATGAGATATTTTATTATAAGTATTTTTAGCACGTACTGATATCCAAAACTTTGTCATCGTTTCTTAAATTTGAGATAAAAAAACGAGCCAAAAATTATTTCTTATTTTTAATATTTTTAAAATTATAATTATTTAAAATTAATATATAAATATCTTTTGCAATAAAATCTTAATAATTATATTGTTCTTTATAATTAAATTAAATCTAATGAAAAATTATATTAATGGTTGATTAACTACTAAATATTACACAAGATTATTAAAGCATAACGTAGCTTTTAGAAATTTGGAGCTATTATTCTCCTATTATTTTCCTATTATTTCTCTATTATTTCCAATTGACAGACTCCGTGAACTTTCATTATATGTTCCTATATACTGCATTC